TCTGTGTGGATGCGTCTGGGGGGTGCAGACCCTCCCGGCACTCTGCTAGATCCAGACCCTTTCCCAGTTAACAGTTTATTCGGGGAAAAAGAGAATAATAATGTACAGCATGGTTAGAAAGAGAACCCTAGAGTGATGTATGCAAAGCAAGCATGATCAATCGAAAAATGCAAAAATAAATATGTCACGGTAATTGCCACAGCGCTGTGACATGCTGACAAGTTTGACATTTGTCTGTGAGATGCTGCTGAGATTACTGATTAGCTCAAATGACGACACAAAACACACAGAACTTGTCTCGTTTTGTTAAAGCTCCAAATCTACTGTGCATGCATGATGACATTCCCCGGCACCTCACTGGTCCCCGACGTCCCATAACTGCCTCGCTAACTCCAGCATGAGCACACAGCGCAGTAATGCTCAGCCTCAGCGAGAAAAGAAACCCAAACAACTCGTGCAATGTTTTCATTACAGCCCTGAGGCAGGAGAGGTGTCGATGTGGACACGAGGCCAGCGCAGCGATGTCACTCACAGATGTGGACTTGTCAGAGTGATGCAGAAAGACCTAATGAGAGTCCGAAGAGAGGACGGCCATCTGATCGTAAACAGTGCAGCCAGGCCAGCCGAGAGCCCGGTGCCAACGGGGACTTTATCGAGAAACTCAACAATGCGCACCACAGCCCAGCAGTCAGGAGTCGGCCTAATCTGACACCTCACTGGAGGAGAAAAGAGGAGTGGAAGGCAGGGAAATCATTTAGCTGTTTTGATGAGAGGATTTTTCTAGGGCTGCACGGAGAGAAACTTATAAATACTGATTTAATAAGGCAACATTCACACACTGTTTTGTATTTGTGCAGTGTTCGCAACAGAGGCAAAAAGCAAAGTAGTTAAACAAATATTTGCAGCCGTATAAAAGACTTCTCTGTACAGAGCATGTCTGTTGCTATGGTAAAAGATAGAGACATTATAATTGCAGTGTACAGGAGAGGGTTTTAAGAGGCTCTTCTTATGTTTTGGTATCTCAGAAGTTTAAATGTCAGTGGTGTTCGTACTTGCTTCGACTGGATCGTGTCTTCTTTCGAAACGCAATTACAGGCCCTAAAACAGCGGCTGTTCGTCTCCGCTCAGATGAAAAGGGTCTTGTGGTGAGTTTTAGCTTAAAAGGGTGGAGGGAGTTTGCAAAGTCTCCCTCAAGCAATTCCAAGCTGCAGTATGCAATCTGTGCATACGGACCATAGGCAGCGTGGGCAAACATTTGCAGCATTTGTCACCTTTTGATTTTTGAACTCTGATTTAGAAGAAAGAGTGCATTTTCTCTCGTCTCTCTTGATGTTCATGTGTTGGCTCGATGTGACCTTGGCAGGCGTTCTGTCTACAGCCCTCTCGCTGTCTACACATCAAACACATTAGACGTAAGCCACGTTTAAATGAACCCTGCAGGGACGTGGCTGCATGCAGTTTAACTACTCTCAGGAGAAAAGACTTGCACATTTAATTAAATTGATTGACCAGCTTATATTGCATTGTAAAGACCTTTACAATCAGACAACATTTGTGTGTGAACTACATAGAGTATGTCAGAGCTGGGTCATTCCTAGCATTCGGTGCCATTTAGGTCCCCACCACATTATATCATATATTTTGTATTTAAAAAGGTCTAATGCTTATTTTTTAAAAGCTTGGTTTTAAATGTTTATACCCTCTACCATAAAACAACAATGTTATTTAGCCAGGATATTAAAAATTCTAAATAATTACTCAGATTTTAGCACAAGTAGGCCAAATTGCTGTGTCCCCAATCATGTTTGCTCAACTTCTGCAACATATATAGAAAAAGAAATCAAAGAAATACAAACAAATTCTACATTTTTGTGAGTGTTGTTTGACCCTTTTGCTAATATTCCTCACCAAATTGAAATTGTTGTTATTAATTCATTTGTATTGAAAATAAAGTGTGTGTCCCCTGTTTGAATGTCCCCCCTGTTACTCTGATTTGAATCCCTCTGGACACGCCCCTTTACTATTCTACTATTTGTATGACTCAAGAAGAAGAAGGATACATTTTGAGTGGGAAATCATCTTCAAGAAGCAGAGTGAATGCGTTCTTCCTTCAACGTTTTTCTAATGTTTTAAAGAACTTAACTATTGCGGTAAAGCATAAAATGTCCACCCTGTTATGCCAAGGAAACGAAAAGGGCACATCACCGCTGTCATCTCATATCGACTAACTCTATAGCTTGTTCTTATAACTAATCGTGTTCTTCCGCCAATTCGGACTGAGTAGGTAAAAATACAAAACAGATGGCGAAACCCCTAGTGGACTGCAAAAGAAGATGCCGAATAGTCAGTCCCAGATAAAGAAAGACCAGTTCTTTCGCCAACTCAGAATACTGTTTTATAGAAGGTCGGAGTCTAAATGAAAGAAAAATCGACGAATATTTGTTTTCAATTAAAGTTTGTTTCTCATTCTAATCACTTGGACGATTTGTTCATCGTAGACTCGTACCTCGTACAATCGCAAAGACTACAATCGGTAAACACGGATATTCCACTGTCGTACGGTTACGTTTGACATCTAAGTACCCAGAATTATTTACGGACGGAAAGATAGTCACATCTAATTAACGTCGTAAGTGGAAAAAATTTTTTGACAGAGAAAGGACAACTCTTACTTTTGTTTGATTTCTTTATTAGCTGAAGGTCGAAAATCGTCCCCAGTAAGGTCGTAAGCCCACGGTAAAAGTCGATATAATAAGTTTTATTTTTGTAATTACAAAGGTACAAAAAAAAATAAATTAGACTATACTTACGACGTAATTTCATTATTCTTTTATAAAACAGCTTGAGTCCTCATAAATACGATGTAATAAATAAAAAAATGGCTAGGGGTCAATGACACAGCACGGGTGGTACAACTGACGACTGTTTATCATTGTCCCACCTGCCATTGTCCTCCCCCACTGCTAAAATACCGATTTGACCGTGAACGGATGTACAACACAAACGTATTAGTTCGAATCGTGAAGCCACTGTTGTCTTTGTTCGTATAAAACTTATCCTATATAGAGTGGTATCAAAATATTTACATTTGTTTACTAGTCAAGGTGA